GTCATTTTCCCCTTATGTCATTGTATCTAAGTAATGTTGGCTTCATAGTTGTTGTGGGCTTTTTCCCCCTCCTTTTCTGGTGGTGATTCTTCCTTCTTTATGGCATGGAACAGTTCCAGGGGCATTAGTGTCAGCTCTTCATTAAAGATCTAGCTGAATTTGGCAGATGATCCCTTCAATTGGGAGCTTTACCCTTGAGAGTTGTTATATTACTGCTTCAATAGAGTTGCTTGCTATGGTTCTGTTGAAATTTTTGATATCATTGTGATTTAATGTGGTTATGTCACATGTATGTTGACATAGATCCATTTCTTCTAGATATTCAAGTTTGGGGGAGTGTAGATTTTAAAGTCCCACTCAATGATTGCTTCCTTGCATTGCATTTGAGTGCATTGCAGGTCCCTCCCTTGTATCTCTATTTTATCAATGTAGGTCTGTTTCTCTTGCTGTTGTGTATTTATTCACAGGACACAGTCTTTGAATAATGTTATACATTGTTGTTTTATTATTCATTACATTAATTTCATAATATTTATCAGCTCTTCCCATTGATTGACTTTCTGTTCATCTTGAACTTTTCCATTGACCAGAGGTTCATCATTAGTTACTAACTTGAGATCTCTCTGAATTTGGTCATTATTTGAGTCTATCTATTTCTTTAAGTAGGCATTTACAATCATAGACTTTCCTCGTCTTATAGCTGTATCTTGAAGATGCTGAGAAAAGGTGTTATTTTCATTTAATTCTAGGAATACTTTTCTCACTGATTTTTTTCAATAAATCAAATGGTAATTCAAGAATATACTGTGCATTCTACAATTGTTTATGTGGTTCCTCCCTAAGAGGTGTCATCAATGGAGGTACAAAGGAAGAGGTTATCTGCATGTTGGAGAACACTAACTTGTAAGTAAGAAAATGCAGATTGATCCCATGACAGTGTCTGTCAATATAAGTGAGAACTGTCTTGGAACTGTTGGGGCAATATAGTTCAAGAGAGTTAAGTAGTTTGGTTTGATGGATCTCCAAATGTAAAAAGATATTGGTAAACCAGATATAAATGTAAGCAGAAAAATACATTGCTTAAACCTAAGATTGTGAAATATTTGGTCCTCTCAGGGATTTGTGTTAACAAAGAATAGGGTCGTGGGCTCCTAAATGTGTAGGGAATATGGGCTGGTTAAAGAAGAGGAGCCCTTAACTGACCTCCATACTCATTAGTCTTTTGAACACCCAACCTTGTGGAATTACACTAAGTGTTGCTGGATTTTGAGGCCTTTGTGACTTTAAATAATTTATTATGATTTTTAATCCCTTCCAATATTATAATTTTAGAAGATATTGTCTTTGATGAGGGAAAGAAAAGAGGTTCTTGAGATGTATTTAGACTGTGATGATAAAGTAGACACTGGAAATTGGAAGATAGAATACCCTTGTAAGCAAAGGAAGCTGCAATTTCCCCGTCCAATTTGTAAAGGCATTGGAGGCTAGACTGTCTTTGGAGACAGAATTTCTGCATCCAGATTAACTCTTCACAAGTTAACCAATAGAACCATTAGGATTTTAGGCTGTCATCTTCAATTCTTAATGATCAGACACCATGACCATTCAGGATGTTGGGTTAGGTGAACTCATAACACTGGTTTTGTATCTTGGTAGCTGCAAAGTTGGTCAACCTGCCAGCTCTTGCCTGTCTTCACCACTAGGGTGAACTGTCCAGCATTGCCCCAGCTAGTTCACTTTTTACAGTATTAAGTCTGGGGTTTGGCTAGATCTCCTTTTTTCATGCTCTCAAGGTGAGTTCTCCCATACATACACCTTCAGTGCCCACTCTAATTGTCCAGGAAGGTGTAGTGTCCACTCTCCCGAGTGTTGCCCCTGGTAAGTGTTGAAGTAGATCCCTTGCCCACCTCAGGTTGCAGGGGAAAGAATAGGGAGCGCACTTTTCTTCTGATCTGTGAGTTTTTTGTTGTTATTTCGAGACAAGGTTTCTCTGTAACTTTGGTGTCTGTCCTGGAACTAGCTCTTTTAGACCAGGCTGGCTTCAAACTCACAGAGATTCGCCTGCACCTGTCTCCCAAGTTCTGGGATTAAAGGCATGTATCACCACCATCTGGCATGCTCTGTGCTTAACAAGAAAGGTACAGGACTTCCCCACAAGTTTTTGACTTGTCATAGATAATTTCTGGTTGATTAAGATTCAATCCTTGACCTTTTAATCCCTCTATTATACAACAAGAAATGTTTATTTCACAGTACTATGAAGGGTCTACCATGGTCCCATTAATGGTTTTCTTTGGAAAATGCCTTCTTGACTTCAGGTATGTTTCCTTTTCACAAAGAAACTGGTGAGATGGACCATATGATACAAGAAGGTCATCAGTGTAAGACTCAGCAGCCTGGAAACAACTTGTTTCCCTGTACTTACTTTTGTCTGACTTGGGACTCACTCTATGTTTAACTAGGTTATATTCACTAATGGTGAGATTTTGGAAAATTTCAGTATGTTTGTCAGGGTCAACTGTAAAACCTCATAAACTCTTATTAAATCTGATTTAAAATGAAAGGAAGGGGGGTTTCTATTCTGGAGGGCAAAATTATCTTGACATTTCCTGTAAGTGGAGACTAAAGAAGTCAAAGTCTACTTAATGGTGGGTAATTAATAGAGAATTCCACATATTGTTTTCTCAGAGAGGCATTGATCTAACACAGATTCAGTAGTAGTGGAGGCTAGACAGGTAGATTTCACATAACAGTGTCCACAGTGATTTAACTCTTTCTGGAAAGCAAGAAAATTACTTGCATATAGGGGCCCTCAGATCATTTTTCATCCTCATAGCTGGGTATGTCTATTTGGATGGTAGCACTACAGTTAGTACTTTTCTAAGGAGGGCTTTTTCTCTCTTTTCCAGCTTATTGACACAGCATGTCACAGAACAGGAAATTGCTAAGTGCTTCTCATATAGGAATTGAGGATCCAAGGATTTCTAGGGTCTCAGCACTCTAGAGAAGTTGAAACTGATGAGGACTCATTGCCTACCTGAAAAGAGAAGAAGGCTTCCATCAAGTCTTCTCCTTTCCTAAGCCTATGTCTTGAAAGTTCTCTGATGATACCCTGCCTGAAACAATGTGGAATTTGGGGACTAACACCTGATGTCCTGTGTCCTCCATGTGTAATTTGTGTCACATGCTCACCACTTTCATATTTTATACACCACGCCCAAAGGATGAAGAAAGGAAGAAAGGAGCAAAAAGAAGGAAATGGTAGTAAGACTTTGAACACAACTACAGAAGTCTTTAAAATGATGAGTATTGTATAAGGAAAAAATTCAATCAGATAATCTGATACTAAAGTCTTAATTTGGGGATGGACACAAGATAGAAACTTTGGAACCAAAGCAGAAAATTAGGTGTAACATAGCCTTGTGTTTCTAAGTAACTGCAGCAGGCTGCTTGTGAGTGCAACCAAATAAAAGCAATTGGAGAATAAAACCCCTGGAGTGAGAATGTCAGCCTCCTTCTGAAAGATGATTTTGATTCTCAGGTCCCACATGGTGGAGAGAACTAACATTATTCTCTCTCTCTCTCTCTCTCTCTCTCTCTCTCTCTCACACACACACACACACTAAATGACTTTGGTTAACTTTTTTCCTGTTGAAATACTTTGTATTCATTATATTTAGAAACACATAGTAAAAGAAACAGTAAATCATAAGTGATAGGAAACTCTAAAAGGTTTTACTGATGGTGGGATGGATTAGGCAGAGATGTGGTCAGGAAGTAGGGCAGAAAAAGAGAAAATTAAATATGTGTTAACAAAATTTTAAGTGAATAATTATTAATTAAGAAACAACCATAGAGGTCTATATTTTGTTGGGAAATCATTAAATTATAAAGTATATAGGGTGGGACAAACATGTAAATCAGTTCATAAAAGTTTGTTTCATTGTTTAAGATCTTTTCTCAAACAAGTTTAGAGCTGTGTATTGAGGTGTCAGAGAGTAAGAGACAGCTGAGAGACTGAGCCTCAGTGAGCAGCAACCCCAGGAGGTTTTTGTTTAGCCCTGGAGCACTGTGGGAGGAAGCTCCTTACTCTGCTGACAGTAATAGGTTGCAGCATCATCAGCTTCCACAGAATTGATGGTAAGGGTGAAATCTGTCCCAGACCCACTGCCACTAAACCTGGCTGGGACCCCAGATTCTAGTTTGGATGCACCATAGATAAGGAGTTTGGGAGACTGTCCTGGTTTCTGTTGATACCAGCGCATAAGATTTGTTCCATAATAATTGACCCTCGCACTAGACTTGCAGGAGATGGTGGCCTTTTGTCCCAGAGACACAGGGTGCAAACCTGGAGACTGGGTCAGCACAATGTCCCCAGTGGAACCTGGAATTACAAACACACAGACCATGTTTATACATGTTTAGAAACTTTCCCAGCAGAGGAATTTTTCATTAAAAATTTTCAAGAATACTTGTAAGCATCACTTTGAGAAACCAGAAAGTCAAAGAGAACAGGGAACATAAACCCAATTTACAAATGGCTTAAATCTAATGATAAAGATAGCAGAGGCATGGAAAACCATGATGGCCACAGCGGATGCCCCCAACACCGGTCTGCACTCTCTCACCTTGAACCCTGAGCAGCAGCATCCATAGGAGGAGTGCCTTTGACTCCATCTCTGAGTGCTTGAAAAGAGAATGCTTCCTAGGCTCCTGCAGCTGCCCTTAAAGGAGCCTGGCTGTTGTATAATGACTCAATATGTAAATCAGCCCAGAAAAGTGTGTGCTGGTGCTCAAAGGGGCACCTGCTCCTGTTTCACCCACTGGGAGTTGGTGTCAGCAGAAAATTCCCTAGAGCATGGCAAATGTGTCTTAAAGGAGCCTTGCAACATATTCTCTTGAATCTTTACCCTCTAATCTTTCTGAAGTGTGATGCAGGTAAGTGCACTATGGATGTGCTATGTAAAGAATATATGTTATTTCAGGAACAACTTAATCTTTCAAAATTGTAAATGGTCAATGAAAATATTATCTACGAGGGAATGGAGAAAAAAGACTCAAAAAAAAGTAACATAATTAATTCTTGACATATTTCTTATTTTTTTTTAAATCTGTGTTTCAGTGTGTGTGATGCTGTCTATGTATGTTTTTGCCTGCTCTTGTTTGTGGACAACCTCCTTGCCGTGGCATATGGATGAAGATAAGAGGCCACCCTTGGGTATGGCTGTTGCCTTCTGTCTTATCTGAGATAGAGTCTCTTGTTCACCACTGCTCCATGAAGAGCCTGGCCCTGGACCATCTGGATACTCTGCAGTCTCCATCTCTCATCTTGCCACAGCATCACTCTGAGTGCACTCATGTGGTGCAGCTGCTTCTGACTTTATGTGGGTCGCTGGGATGTGAACCAGGTCCTCACATGTATATGGCAAGCATGTTACCCATAGAGCCACTATGGTCCGTTCATTAAAATAGAAGCACTGAAAAGAAATTCTTCATACTGAATGTAAATAAAAATTCAGGAAATATAGGAATTATAACATGAAGGTTAAGTGATATTGTTGGTTACTTTTTTCTCTTTACTCTTTGCTCTTTGAGGGTCCAACACCCGGCTCCCAAATACATACATGGGGACTTATTCTTACTTATAAGTACTTGGCCTTAGCATGGTTTGTTTCTAGGCACCTTTTCCTTTTCCATTTTTTTTGATTGTAGCAGTATTTTTAATTTTTCCAAGTTGTCATATTAGTGCTACATATCTTGAAAGTTGGGAGAGACTTCACTTCCTGTGGCTTGTCTATTGTGGAACCTCTTGAACAGTCTATTCAGCTAAACCTAAAGGTCCATATTTGATTATATCAGGTGGCACATGAGTAGGTTGTTTTGGAAGTTGTGTTGTAGTTAGGGTTGCTGCTTTACTGAGGCAAGATTGATCTGATATGAAGGATTCTCATGTTTATTTGATTTACTTCTATAGGCAAACTATATGTAATGAAAAGACAAAACTGTCTGGGCAGTTCTGGATGATTTTGTATCTGGTAGTTATCATTTGATTATATTATTGTTCCTCAGCTTTGCTATTTCTCCTCAAACTTGAAATCAGGAACAAGGAATTAACAATCACCAATTTCACAAGGCATTGCCATGCAAAACAGAATGATCTGCTATTTATTTGCTTTAAGAAACGCAAGTGTGCCAAGTGTGGCACTTGGTGACCATGCCTTTGACTTTGAAGCTTGAAGCACTTTCCCTGGTTTGTCTGGTGACAGGTCACTTGGAACAGAAGTTTCTTTTTAGGAGACAGAGACAGAGACCCACATTGGAGCACCGGACATGAACCTCAAGGTCCAAATCAGGAGCAGAAGGAGAGAGAGCACGAGCAAGTAACTCAGGACCGCAAGGGGTGCACCCACACACTGAGACAATGGGGTTGTTCTACTGGGAACTCACCAAGGCCAGCTGGCCTGGGTCTGGAAAAGCCTGGGATAAAACTGGACTCTCTGAACATAGTGGACAATGAGGACTACTGAGAACTCAAGAACAATGGCAATGGGTTTCTGATCCTACTGCACGCACTGGCTTTGTGGGAGCCTAGGCAGTTTTGATGCTCAACTTACTAGACCTGGATGGAGGTGGGGGTTCCTTGGACTTCCCACAGGACAGGGAACCCTGATTGCTTTTCGGGCTGAGGAGGGGGGGGACTTAATCGGGGAAGCGGGAGGGAAATGGGAGGCGATGGCGGGGAAGAGACAGAAATCTTTAATAAATAAATAAAAAAAAATAGGAAATAAGGAAGAGCCAAAAAAAAAAAAAAAAACAAAAGTGAAAGACAATAAACCTATATAGATAAACAGAAAAAAAAGAAGTTTCTTTTTAGTCTGGGTAAATTCCCCTCATGTGCTTCTCTTTCAGGCTGTAGTGGATTCTGTCCTTAGACAGGTTTTCTTAGTTTAAATTATCCCATCTACCTTTTGCCTCCAGGCATTTATCTTTCTCTATTATCTCTCTCTTTCTCTCATCTATCTATCTATCTCTCTATCTCTCTATCTATCTATCTATCTATCTATCTATCTATGTATCTATGTATCTATCTATCTATCTATCTATCTATCTATCTATCTATCTACATCTAATCTTCTCTACTTCCTACTTTGTGGTTTGCTGTGTATCTGGTTGGCTGACCACTGGTTTCTTCCCTCCTTCTTTTCTCTGTCCTCTCTCTTCTCTTTCTCTCTGATTATTCTCTCGCTGGCAACCCTGCCTATTTGTCTCCTACCTACTATTGAGTGTTCTGATCTTTATTAGACCAATCAGACATTTTACACAGGCACAGTAACACAGTTTCACAGAATAATACAAATGCCACATAAAACGATATAATACATCTTTGCATCATTAAACAAATGTTTCACAGCATAAACAAATGTACACATTTTCAACTATTTTTCTACTACATATTTCTCATTTATGTTCCTAAACAGTGCAACTCAAAGAAGGGAAACACACAAACCCTACTACTAAAAAAGTGACCGGAGTTAACAACCACTGGTCATTAATATCACTTAATGTCAATGGGCTCAACTCACCTATGAAAAGGCACAGGCTAAGGGATTGGATACGAAAACAGGATCCAACGTTCTGCTGTCTACAAGAAACACACCTCAACCACAAAAACAGGCACCTACTCAGAGTAAAGGGCTGGGAAAAGGCTTATCAAGCAAATGGTCCTAAGAAACAAGCAGGTGTGGACATACTAATTTCTAACAAAGTTGACTTCAAACTTAAATCAATCAGAAGAGATGGAGAGGGACATTTTATACTCATAACAGGAACAATTCATCAGGATGAAGTCTCAATAATGAATATCTATGCCCCGAATATAAAAGCGCCCACGTATGTAAAAGAAACATTACTAAAACTCAAGGCAGCCATCAAACCGCACACACTAATAGTAGGAGACTTCAACACTCCTCTCTCACCAATGGACAGGTCAATCAAGCAGAAACCTAACAGAGAAATTAGAGAATTAATGGAGGTAATGAATCAAATGGACTTAACAGACATCTATAGATTATTCCACCCAAAGAGGAAAGAATGTAACTTCTTCTCTGCAGCTCATGGAACCTTCTCGAAAATTGACCACATACTCGGTAACAAAGCTAACTTACACAGATACAAAAAAATATTAGTAACCACCTGTGTCTTATCAGATCACCATGGATTAAAGTTAGAATTCAACAACAATGCTACCCCCAGAAAGCCTACAAACTCATGGAAACTGAACAGTCAACTTCTGAACCATACCTGGATTAAGGAAGAAATAAAGAAAGAAATTAAAGTCTTCCTTGAATTCAATGAAAATAAAGAAACAACATACTCGAACTTATGGGACACTATGAAAGCAGTGCTAAGAGGAAAGTTCATCGCACTAAGTGCCCACTTAAAGAAAACAGAGAAAGCACATATTGAAGACTCAACAGCCCACCTGAAAGCTCTAGAAAAAAAAGAAGCAGACTCACCTAGGAGGAGTAGAAGATTGGAAATAATCAAACTGAGGGCTGAAATCAACAAAATAGAAACACAGAAAACAATCCAAAGAATCAATGAAACAAAAAGCTGGTTCCTGGAGAAAATCAACAAGATTGATAAACCCCTATCCAAACTAATCAAATGGCAGAGAGAGAATACGCAAATTAATAAGATCAGAAATGAAAAGGGGGACATAACCACAGACACAGAGGAAATTCAGAGAATCATCAGATCTTACTACAGAAGCCTGTATAACACAAAACTGGAAAATGTAAAAGAAATAGACACTTTTTTAGATAAATACCATATACCAAAGTTACACCAGGACCAGGTGAACAATCTAAACAGACCTGTTCGTCGCGAAGAATTAGAAGAGGTTATCAAAAACCTCCCTACCAAAAAAAGCCCAGGACCAGATGGTTTCAATGCGGAATTCTACCAGAAATCCAAGAAGAGCTAATACCCATACTCCTTAATGTATTCCACAATATAGAAACAGAAGGGTCATTACCTAATTCCTTTTATGAAGCTACAGTTACTCTGATACCAAAACCACACAAAGACTCAACCAGGAAAGAGAATTACAGGCCAATCTCACTCATGAACATCGACGCAAAAATCCTCAATAAAATACTGGCAAACCGAATCCAAGAACACATCCGAAAAATTATCCATTATGATCAAGTAGGCTTCATTCCTGAGATGCAGGGCTGGTTCAACATACGAAAATCTATCAATGTAATCCAGCATATAAATAAACTGAAGGAAAATAACCATATGATCATCTCATTAGATGCTGAAAAAGCATTCGACAAAATTCAACATCCATTTATGTTAAAAGTCTTGGAGAGATTAGGGATACAAGGGTCATACCTAAATATAATAAAAGCTATATACAGCAAGCCGACAGCTAACATCAAATTAAACGGAGAGAAACTCAAAGCCATCCCGCTTAACTCAGGAACACGACAAGGATGTCCACTCTCTCCATACCTCTTCAATATAGTACTTGAAGTTCTAGCAATAGCAATAAGACAACATAATGGGATCAAGGGGATTCGAATTGGAAAGGAAGAAGTTAAACTTTCGTTATTCGCAGATGATATGATAGTGTACATAAGCGACCCCCAAAACTCCACCAAAGAACTTTTACAGCTGATAAACAGCTTTAGTAATGTGGCAGGATACAAGATCAACTCCAAAAAATCAGTCGCCCTCTTATACACAAAGGATAGGGAAGCAGAGAGGGAAATCAGAGAAGCTTCACCATTCACGATAGCCACAAACAGCATTAAATATCTTGGGGTAAATCTAACCAAGGAAGTGAAAGATCTATTTGACAAGAACTTTAAGGCATTGAAGAAAGAAATTGAAGAGGATACCAAAAAATGGATGGATCTACCTTGCTTTGGATTGGGAGGATAAACATAGTAAAAATGGCAATTCTACCTAAGGCAATTAATAGATTCAATGCAATCCCCATCAAGATCCCATCAAAATTCTTCA